CTGACCGTTCAGGGCAACGCAATGAGGTCCCTTTAAAGCCCAACTCGGTGGGAGAGCACAGTGAAGGTGACTAATTGGATCAGGGGTTGGCTTTATTACTACAATGCTGCTTTTTACATACTATTCATTCACATCAGTCCCTATCTCGCATGCATACATACAAGAGCCAACATAGACAGGAGCCAATTAACCTACCAGCATGTCTTTGGAGTGCTTGAGGAAACTCGCACAAGGGCAGGGAGAACGTGCAAAACTCCTTGCAGATATTGTCCTCACCAGGATTTGAACCAGGGACCTCCAGTGCTGCATTAAAGGGAAAACTAAAAGAAAATTGCCTGGAGTTAAATTGGAACCAGATAAGACAGGTCTTGTTGGCTTGGTGGATATCTTGTATTGATGATACAATTTTCTAAATCCTTTCTGGTTTTAGGTTTCGGATTCTGCCCCAGTACCTGCCTCAGACCCCATCCCAAGCATTGAAACACTTGACCTTAATGTGTCCCTGGCAGCAGCCAAGGAGCGAGCCCACCAGAAGCGATCGCAGAAAAAGGCACCCACCATGGACTGGAACAAAAGGAAAGAAGTATTTGGCAGCCTGTGAGAAGACCAAGGGACTGATGCGGACCCCATGTCTGTACCTCGAAATCTTCCTGTGATATTAATCAACAGCCACGCCCAGCAATCCCATATTTCCTGTTTTGTGTCACCAGCGATCTACCAGAACTGTGGGGTGATTGCCAGCCAGTTGATGCAGTTTATTTATTCTTGTTTAGCCTGTGAATCCGTCCACTGCTATCCAGAAATTGAGATGGCGTTGGTGCCTATGTGGGATCGTACAGCAATAATGCTCCGAGCCAGTCTTACAAGGAGCCGGTGAAAGCCAGGGGCCGGAACAAGATGCTTTTCCTGTGTACAGCATACACAAGCTACTTCTTTCTATTAGAAAGTTCCATTTCCGAGACTCTTAAGGTCCAGACGAATTTCCATTTATTTGCAGATTTTTGACCATGTTTCTAATGAAGAATGAGGTTTTTCTAATATTTTGTGAAAACTGTTAACCGGATATTTTGCTATATAGCTTAATACAGATTTCTTTACTTTTAGTGTCTTGTTAGTTCTTGGGTGTTTAGGTTTACATGCTGATACTGTAAGGAATGTACAGATTAAGTGGGCCATATATAGCACGCTTTCATTCTCTGGAACCTCAGTGGGTTAAAGATTACAATAAAAAAAATGGAGGCGCCCCTATCTGTTCTGCAGTATTTTATAGCCCCTTTCGTATTCTAGCACCTTTCACTGGCCACTGAGCTTTTTCCAATGTGCACTGGACGCTTCAGTAAGTCGGAGCCCGCCTCATTTCCTGGCTACAGTACATCCAGCATCAAGCTTTCTTTCCCTGCCACGCCCCTTTTCATTCAGAGAGGCTTAATGTTATATGTGGGTATTACTTAGTGGGCTACATGCAAATGCAATCTGCCAGGAACACAGTCCTCCCCACTGACCCCTGCCCATGATGGCCAGACCACTGCATTCATCGGGGCACACCCTGGTGGCCCCTCCCAGTGTGATATCTGATCACTTGGTATGGCTTTCTAAATTCATATTGAGGAAAGGGAGGATCTGGGGGAGTGGGATCCGATCAAAAATATAAGCAACTTCTGCATTGCATACATGCATAAATTTTTTTTATATTTGATCTGTTGCCTCTTGACTTACCAGATACAGAGGATAGGCAGTCCTTCATAAAAAGGCCACTACTTAGCTGCTTGCTTGCCCGTATTTTTGTTGCATACAATGCAGATCTTGGCCTCTACAATGACTGCTTAACAATTGTTTAGACAAGATTTCAGTCACACGGAGTGCATTGGTTTTTAGGGAGTCAGCTGACTTATAGACTTGCATCGTGAAAAGGAGCAGTTAAGTAGCACTATGAGGCTTGTGCATATAGTTACAATATACAGGAACACTGTTTATCAAACATAAATACACATTAAAATACTTAAAGGGGGA